TGGTGCCTAGAATACCTGGCATATAGTAAATGTTCAATAAATATTTAGTAAATAAACCAATTAATTTCTAGATAGGGAAAGATAAGTGATTAAATGGACTCTGGTTATTCTCATGCATAGACTCCCCTTCTCTTTTGGGCTTCTTTTCTTTTTTTTTTTTTTTTTAAGATTTTATTTATTTATTTATTTGACAGAGAGAGAGAGAGAGAGACAGTGAGAGAAGGAACACAAGCATGGGGAGTGGGAGAGGGAGAAGCAGGCTTCCACCTGAGCAGGAAGCCCAATGTGGGGCTCGATCCCACTGGGATCATGACCTGAGCCAAAGGCAGAGGCTTAACAACTGAGCCATCCAGGTGCCCTTCATTTGGGTTTCTTACTTTGATTTCCATAGCCACCATCACACCAGTACCCCCAGGAATGTACAGTGTTAAGTTTAAAACTCTGGTTCTGATTTGGAGAAAAACACCAAAACAAATAGTCTTTCAGTATTTATTTACTCTTTAGCACTGCAAAACAAATAAACATTTTTTTAAGTTTTGTTTTTTATTAAATACACGGGAATAATAATTTTAAAAGTCACTATAGAACTACACATATTCACCTCAAAGAGTTAGTAGATCACCCTCTCCATACCTTTCTTTTAGCCCTCCCAGCTGCCTCTACATGTTTAATGTGTAAGCGCTATTATAAAACCTAGTACAGGGAAACTCAACCAACTAAGTTGGAAGGAAGGGAGGGTGGGAGGGAGGGAAGGGAAAGACAGAGAGAGAGAAAAGTGAAAATGATCATGTTCTAACTCTGCTGTTTCCAAATGACCCTCATCGTCAGGTCTGGATTCCAGTCTGAGAGAACATTCCAAGTATCTCTCACCACTCACCTGCCTGATGCTTTTCTCTTTAGCAAGTATTGCAAATCATGTAGCTTGCCGTCTCCCAGGTTTTTTGCTAATAGATTGCTCTCCTCCAACCCTGGCTGGCTAAGTCCAGTTCACCTTTTAAGTTAGCTGAGGAGTCACCTTTCCCACCAAGTTTTCCCTAATTTTCCCACAATAAGTTAAGTGCTCCTCTTCATATATTATAATCAGCTATCTCTGACTCTGTCTTCCCCCTTAGACTAGTATTCTTGAGGATAGAGATGATCTCTTACACATTGTTGTATTTCAAATGCCTTAGCAAAGTGTCTGGTGTATAGTAACATACGACATATAATGGTTAGACGAATGGATACCATTTTTCTACAAGCAATGGCAGGACTATGAAGATTAGTATCTAATTAAACTCATTCTTCAAGTGAGACACTGTCCCCTGAGGAAGTGCCCTTATCCTCTATCAGCACCTACCGTAACAAAAAGTTAACTCACCAGAACAAGAATACTGAAAATACAAGTACAGGACCATGAGAATCTTTCTCAGGTGAAAATTCTATAGATAATAAAGATACACTAGAGTAGATAGATTTGAACATAAACTCACCGACATTTCCTGAAGTTAATGCTATAAATTAATTTTTAAGTCCATTAATCTGACCCACCCTACCTCACTTACTCTTTCTGAACTTCCTGCTTACTTTGGTCACACTCCACAGATGTTACTCAGATCAAATGGTTCTTACTGCCTCAGTATATTTAGATTGCTACATCTATGATCATTCAGTGTTTTGCATTCCTTAGTGTTTATACAGTTTAAATGTCTATGTTCAATCCAGGTAAAGAAACATAGAAATAATTTGAAAGTTAATGTGCCAGACATCAGAGAACATATAATACATATGGTATGGGAAAATGTATTATTTAATATGCACAAGTGAAGAAAATTACTAATGTTTGAAAGATAATTTGGGGTTTACTTCTGACCAAGTTTTCTTTTAAGGGAAAATAAAAGAATGAATAATTTAAAAATAATTAAAATCAGAAAAAGTCACAGTCAAATAAATGTTTAAGTACTGAACTTAGATATCGATCATGTAATACTGAAATATGAAGACAGTTTACCTAAGGTAGGTAAATTTTCCTCTGCAGGAAGCATGTTCTTTTCTAATAATCACTAAATGATAAATATTTTTACTTTTCTAATTGCTTCTATTGTTCCTATGATAAATAAGCTCCATAAAGAAATATGAATAAATTTCATACCTTAAATTTTGCACTTCCTTAAAAAATCTGGTTTGTCTGGAGCAGTTCATTCTGTGTTCCAGACAAACCAGCTACTAAGAACACATTAAACTGTGAGTAAACTCTATTATTCACTTTATTAATGGCTCATTTTTTAGAACTACTGAACGGTTAATTATATTTGAAAGTTTACTTAGAAATGGGAGTTTACACGGAACAAACACATTAGGCAACATCATTACTGGCCAATTCCCCAAATCAATAACGTCCTTTCTTTTGAGACATAATGAGACCTTGTGTATAATTTATTGTAATTCCGATGACATTTCTCAATTTTAAATCATTTCCTTTGCTCTTTATCAAGAAAGAAAATAGTTCTAGGTTCTTTTTTAAAAAAAACAGCTTTCCTGGGGCGCCTGGGTGGCATAGTTGGCTAAGCACCTGACTCTTAGTTTTGGCTCAGGCAGTGATCTTGGGGTCCTGGGATAGAGCCCTGAGTCAGGATCCACACCCAACGTGGAGTCAGTTTGGGATTCTCTCTCTCCTCTCACTTCCCCTTCCCCCCATCCTCCCTCCCTATCTCTCTCTCTCTCTAATAAATAAGTAAATCTTAACAAAACAAAATAAAACCTAGCTTTCCTGAAATGGAAGAGTACAAAGAATAGAGCCAAAAAATGCCCAATTCATAAATTATGGAAACTCTCAATTTTAGAAAAGAATGCTATAAATCTAATACTCATTCAATGATCTATTATTCATATCATCACATGCTACAAATTTCTAAGGATCTTTTCATAGCAAATAATCAAAATAAACCACATCATTCACCTTTTTAATTTGTACATATTTGATATTCTTATTTTTTATTTTTTATTTTCTTTTTATTTCTAAGATAATGCTCCACCAAGGCAAAATCTTATTTCATTGGGTTATAGAGTATAATTTCCTGGGAATTGCTACTTATAAAATTTTCCTTTAACGAATTCATAAAATGGGTCCTTTGCTGATTTTAATCACATATTATTAAGGGGAAAATTCTACTTTTTTGTAGATATGATCCATTTTTTTTAGAGAGAAAGGATGAACTTTCTTCCTTTACAAAAATAAAAGTATCCAGTATTTCTGATTTGTTAAAATGTATATGAAAGAAAAGGTGCCTTGGTTTGTTGTCTCTTCTAAAATGGTTGGGATCAAAGTTTTGATTATCTAAGAGTATATATTAAATATTATGAAAATACAGCCATTCAGAGTTCAGAGAGTGGGAACCTCATCTATATGAAAAGCCTCAATCCTAAAAGTTAAGTTTTAAAGGACTTTAACCAACAAAAATCTCTTTAATATGTGCAAGTTGCACCTTCCTCAAATTCTCTCCTAAGCAATTAATTGCATGTAATATAAAAAATCAAATTAGAGAGATAAATAAACAATATTACAGCATGAAAAAAATGGTAGTTAATGGAAGAGAGAACTATCATAATAACCCAGAAGATCTGGAGACCCCCATACCAAAGCATCTATAGGTGAATGGATATGATATCCAAGATATACTTCAAAATAATCCATGTCTAGGGGAGAATAAATGGGGGGTATAAAAGAGACAGGTTTGGTCATGTGTTGATTATGGAAGCCAGGTGATAGATAAAGAGGGTGTGTCATAGTATTCTCTCTACTTTTGTATATGCTTCAAAACTTTGCTAATAAAAAGTAAAACAACAACAAAAACAAACATAGAATTATAAGCCAATAGTCCCTGAAGATATCCATTAGTTATGAACAACTTCATAGTGGCCAAATTCAAAGGACTTATTTCTGCTCTCATCTTAAAATCTCTCAATCAAAAGCCTCACACCTTTCCTTAAACTCTGCTGTCTTTTGTTTCCCAAACTTTCTGACTCCTTTCCTCTCAATCTCTTTAGCTAGATCTTCCTTTGCATGCCTTCCAAAGTTTGGAGAGTCTCAAAGCCCATATCTTTTCAAACTTTATGGACAATCGCAAGGCATTAATTACAATTACAGGTCAATGACCCTTACATTGCCATCTTCCACCCCCATGTATCAGGAGTATTAGAAGTATATTTTCAATGCTATATATTGGATTATATTACTCTCCTAAACTGTACTTTCTACTTTGCCTGATATTTTCACATAGATCTCCTACTAGCACCTCAAATTCAATGTAAAAGAAACCCAATTCATAATCTTTCTTTATATTTCTCCACCAAAAGCAGTAGCTCTCCTTTCAGCTTTTAAGTTTCTGCAAATGGTACCTAATCAACCAGGTATCCAAGCCATGCTTATCTGGGCCCTCTCTTTCTTCATATCCTTTTAAATCTGTTCCTTCCTGTTGTTACTGCTATGAGACTCCTTCAGCTGGGACCACTGCCAAGGCTTCCTGACTGGTTTTCTGTCTTCTGATTTCTTCTAATTCCAATCCATCACATTGAGTTGCCAGATGCGAAGATTATCTTTAAAGATTTCACTCCCCTGCTCAAAAATCTTTGATGGGTCCCCTCTGTCTATCTGAATTCTCTACCCAAATAGTCAATGCCCTTACATGACCTAAGCTCCAATCAAACTGAACTCTAATGGTGTTTTATTTATCCCTCTATGAAGAAAATGTACCCTTTTCCTTCTGCTTCCTAGTACAGCTAATTTAATGCAAGTCTTACTCCCACCTCCATTCCCCAAATATTTGTTGCCTATTTGAGGGCAGGGACCACATCTTGGTACCTCCCCGTAGAAAATAACACAGTAATGTCTGTGAAGGAAGGAAAACAAGACTTCAGAATAAAACCTGATTCAATTTGGGCTACAAAATAGTATCTCAATTCCTTTTCCTACAGATGTAGTCTTTTCAGAATGTGTACAAAGAATAAAAAACATTTATTACCTGTTATTACATTTATATCTGGGTACTGGTTTTCACACAGACCAACAGCTTTGCTATCTCTCTCAAAAGCCTCTCGAAGTTCTTTCTTGACTGCTGCCGAACCACATAATCGATATAGCCCTACCACCTAGAAGTGAAATTATGGCCATATTAGGGTAAATTTGATAAAGAGAAAATACAATAGCACAAAATGTAGAAGTCACATGAAATTGGTAATCAAATATGTTCTGATGACATTTAATTAAAAATACCTCAGCTTTCGAAATCTCACCATAGACTATATTCATCAGTTGAATGAAAACATTATATTCTTTCATTTAAATTCAAATAATATACTATGATTTCTGTAGTGCTATCTATCTTAAGATACAAGCCCTTCACTTTAGTTTTATATGCTCAACCACTATGCCCAAGGTTGTGCCCTTTCACATCTTTCACTCTAAACTGAAGAAATCCAGCACAGTGGTTAAACAAGGGTTTTAGATTCCAAAAGGACCACTCTATCACTCCCTGCTTAGTGATTTTGGGCAAGTTATTTACTCTCTTTAAATCTCATTTTATTTATCCAAAAAAAAGTACATACTTGAAATAAGATTCCAGTATACTATTTGTGTTACCTTACCAGGAAAAATATTCTAGGGATGAAATAAAAGCAAACTTGGAATTTTTTTTTAACTTACTAAGTCAACTGATTAAAAATAAAGGAAATTCAGGGCGCCTGGGTGGCTCAGGGGTTAAGCCTCTGCCATTGGCTCAGGTCATGATCTCAGGGTCCTCGGATGGAGCCCCGCATCAGGCTCTCTGCTCAGCAGGGAGCCTGCTTCCCCCTCTCTCTCTCTCCGCCTGCCTCTCTGCCTACTTGTGATCTCTCTCTGTCAAATAAATAAAATCTTTTTTAAAAAATAAATAAATAAAAATAAAGGAAATTCAATTAAAATAATATACTAAGGTAAAATAAAACCTTTAGTTCAAAATATATGTAAGATCCACCCTCCCCTCAACCTACACTAAAAAGATTTGTTTTAAGAAGATTTAAACATTGTTCGTTCATACAGGAGATAAAATATTAAGTCTTAGGAAGCTCCCTATAAACTTACTGAGAGGAAATCAACATGATACCTGTGAGGAGAAAACATGTCTGATGAAGCAATCAGAGTTTAAAAAACAAAAAACAAACAAACAAAAAACCCTTCAAGAAAATAAGTGATTGTTAACTATACCTCCATATCAAACACTACTTAGGAAGCTGAATCACTTTGAATTGAAGGAAGTTATAAAGACATTATTTCAAGACAGAAATAAAGTAAAAATAAACAATGAAGATCCTCAAGGATGTGAACTAGGAATCACTTTAAGGTCTTATAAACAATCTAGGAGAAGGCATACACAAATGAAATTTCCAGGTGTACTTGTGACACAAACCTCTCCAAGTCATTACATAACTGGTAGAATACAGAAGGTGGATCTCAATATAGGAAAGTGACACTCATAGATACAAAGAAATGTTACCCAAAATATTGGAGATGATAAGCTATTAAAAATTTTTGGAAGATCATAAGGAACCTACAAGATTTTCTTTCTTTTTTTTTTTTTTTTAAGATATATTTATTTATTTGAGAGAGAGTGCGTGCATGGGAGCAAGGCCAGGGGCAGAGGGAGAGGGAGGAGGGAAGCCAACTCCCCGCTGAGTGCAGAGCCCAGCATGAAACTTGATCTCATGACCCTAGAGATCATGACCTGAGCCTAACTCAACAGTCCGAGGGTTAACTGATTGGGCCACCCAGGCACCCCAGGAACCTGCAACTGTTTTTAAGAGAAGGTAATGCAAGGTGGTGCTACATTCAAAAGGACCAACGTAATATGGGAAACTAAGGAACGTACTGACAAGTAAATTTCCTACTCTTATCCATGTCCTACACTGGTCACATCTCACAAGACATGGCAGAACCATAGATGATCCAGGAAATAAAACTAAAATATTAAAATGCTATCACATGGGGTGCCTGGGTGGCTCAGTGGGTTAAAGCCTCTGCCTGCGGCTCGGGTCAAGATCCCAGGGTTCTGGGATCGAGCCCCGCATCGGGCTCTCTGCTTGGCAGAGAGCCTGCCTCCCCCTCTCTCTGTGCCTGCCTTTCTGCCTACTTGTGATTTCTGTCTGTCAAATAAATAAGTAAAATCTTTAAAAAAAAAATGCTATCACATTAGAAGAAACTAACTTGAGTAGACCCTTCTGGTGGGGCACACTTAAGTGTCAAAAAATTCCCTAATAAAGATATATCCCCTTCAACCTGAGAACGAGATGAATGTAGAATCAATTGAAGAAAGCATTATTTCAGTAGTAAGAAATTAAGGGAACGTGCTATTCCAAAAGGTGAATAAAGGAAGATAGAAATCTAACACATATATTTCAAGGAAAGGATACCTTAGGATATTATGCTCAACTTCAGATGCTGACTTCTTGAATCAAACACTTGAAGTACATGGTTGATGTCTCTATCAGAGAGAGAACCTGTACTGGAACAACCATGAATATGATTTCCACCATAGTTTTTCCCATTGGAAGCAGGGGGGTAGGTGGTAGTAGTCGTCAAAGCATTTGCAAGATGCCACAAACTACTCTTGTATGACTGTTGAAACCTCATGTTCATGGTAACAAAAACAAGAATTACTGACTAAAAAGGTAAACAAAATCTAAGCCATGTGCAAGTCCATAAAATAACAGACACAATAAGCCTCTTTCTGTGTATGTTGGGGCTGGGGGGAAGCAAAAGAAACAAAACCAAAGAAAGTGTTTAAAAACTGCAGTTCCAAATGTATTACTGTAAATTTTACTTTTTAGTTCACAGGAAATTTTTTTTAAAATACACTAGTTTTTAAGAGTTTATCTATTTATTTGAGACAGAGAGCAGAAGCAGGGGGAAGGAGAGGGCAAAGGGGACTCCCCACTGAGCAGGGAGACCAATGCAGGACTGGATCCCAGGACTCGGATCAGAACCTGACCTGAAGGCAGATGCTTAACCTACTGAGCTACTCAGGTGCCCCATCACAGGAAATTATTCCTCATTAAAATAACTATTTCTAAACTTTAAGTACAGAAATAAAAAGCACTGCTAAAAATGTTTTCTTAGTATTTAAAAAAGTTACAACAGTCATATATCCATTCTTTATAAAATATTTCAGAAAAGAGTGCAGAAGTACAGTGCTATTTGAGCTACTTATTTTAATACTCAATTGTGAAAGTTTCTGTTTAATAATTAGCTTCACAGTCTCCCTAATCTCTGACCCCTCTACATCTCTCTACATGCTGCCCTCCCCCCCAAAAAAAAGAGTTGTGGGAGAAAAACAGAGAATCTTAAGAAAAAGTAACCGGACCAAAAGTTACATTGGAAACTAAAGGCTTCAATCTCATATAGACAACATAAACTCAATCTGAATAATATATCTGAGAACAGGTTTCAAAAGTTCAGATGTCCCTCCTACCTCTCACCTTCAGAAAACTGCTTCATCTGTTTTTATAGATAATCAGCAAATAAGATCCACAGAGATTAAGTGACTTGCCCAACATCACCCAGCTAATTAATAATGGAGGAGAAACCAGTACCTGTTCCCTGCATCTTTAATACAAAACCCCACTAACTTACTTACACTGTTTCCGTAGTTTCCACATCAGGTCCAGGGTGAGTTATTTAAAAATCTTTTCTATATATAAAGAAATCATAGTTCAGACTTGGTGATATTTACCCTTGATGCTTTCAATCAATGTCATAAATTCTGATAGCCCTAAAGCAGAAATACCTCAGAAATACTGACGTTAGACTTAATTTTTGAATTTAAGCAATTACTTTTACCTCACAATAATACCCTCAGTGATATGCTGTTTTTCGTTGTCACAGTCCACATGTATTCATGAAAATAAAGAAAGATAAGGTCTAGTAAACTGGTTAATATTACAGATCTGATTACACGTAATGCCAGGGTTTTTGTCTATTTTAACGGGCTGCTTTTACCTTCTTATTTATTTATTTAACCTTCTTATTTAATAGGAAAAGAGAATGAGAAATGTTATTAATAGGACCTCTCTTCATCCTCCATGCTATCCCAAAGTTCAGAGACAGATAAGCTTATGCTTTCTGAAGGGTGAGATGAGGGAGAGGAGAGAATAAGGGCAGGGAGTTAGTTTTAGGAGCAAAGTGGGGTTTTAAGATTCACTGTTGGAATTCTGTGCCATGAGAATGTCAAGCCAGGCAGAAACATTCCTTAAATGAATTAATCTTTGGCTATCTTATCAGCTCTGGCTTTTCCTAGGAATGCCATTGTAAAGCAATCCTGATACGTAGGTTTAAGGCCCAAATAGCTCTGCCTCAGAACATAAATTGTGGAACCATCTAGCATGCTCTCAATTGCTCACTGACAACACAGGTGAAATTATGAATTATATGCTAAACAGTCATGGAATAAAAATTTAAAAACAGGAATGAGAAAATGTCTAAATTGGATTTCTTTTAACCTTACCTTGAATTCCTTCCCTGAAGACTTACTATAAATCTAATTAATTAAGGTAAATAAATTGATAAGGAGGTAGTAGAGAAAGAGTGAAATAATACCTGACAGCCTCTCTTCTCAATTTCCATAATACATTTTTGTATCAGGAGTGGCACCATCAGCCCTATATTTTCTTTCTCTACAACTTTTCGAATATCAACACCAAATATTACTGGTTCTCGATTTATATCCAGCCCATGAAGAGAATTCTCCCACTGTTCCAGAAGAGTCACTTTCACATAAATAAGACCTCTGGGCTCAAGTTTGACAGCCAACTGATGTGTCTTTGTCACTCTGAATAAAGTGGGGAGAATAACAGTTCCATGACAACACACTCGATTTTTTCTTGGAGTCGGTTCCCAACTGAATACTACTAATTTCAAATGCTGTGCATTTTCAATTTCTATGTTGAAAGTATGATCCATGTCTAAAAATGTTGTCCGACATGTGAGCAGAGCGGTTCTCGCTTTGTTTACTGAATCCACCTGAATCGCACAGAAGACATCTTTTGAATCTATCCGAGGTGGTTTTAAATCCTCAGCACCATAGAAATGCACACTCATGAGCCCAGATATGTACTGTGAACATTTAGGTTGGTCGGAAAAACTATAATGTCTGAAAGCATCAATGTCTATTTCACTCTTGCTACAACTGTTTGGAGTTATTTCTTTTCCCTTTCCAAATTTGTTTTCAGATCCATGTTTGCTAGATTTAGTTACAAGTTCAGGTGAATCTCCATCACTGAGATAACCACCTTTACATGAATACTTAGAACTCATAAATGTTTTCTTCTGGTAGCTGTGCTGAGAAGATACGCTGGTATCCAAGTGGTACCGACTTATAACATTCCTCTTCGCAGCTGTGGTTGTGTTCCCAGAAGGCAGAATATCAGTATGATGAATTTCCTGACAGTTACATTTAGACAGAGAAGGGGTATTATCTGGACTGTTCATGTGATTCAAAGTTCCTCTAACGCTCAGCTTTCGACTAAGTTCTGGCAACCTTTTCATTTTCATAGAAAGTTTCCTCACAGTTCGTGGAGATTTTATTTTATCTGGGAAAGACCAGTTAATTGAGCTATTTTTTTTCACAGGGCTAGGGCTTGGAGAAGATGGTTCTGGCACTCCCAATTCAGTCTTATTTGTAGCAGCTAGGCTCCGAGGACCTTAAAAAAAAAAAAGAAATTATAAGGTGATATTTTCTGATTCCTGCCTTATAAATCATCGACTAAACAAACTCTCATATGGACAGATTTTTTTTTCTCTCGTTTCGTCTCATTGGGGAGATTTAGTTAGTTATACAAGCAAGTTTAAGTAAATCTCCATTACCACTTTCAAACAGAGTATTAAGGATTTCCAGGGGTGCCTGGATGGCTCAGTTGGCTGAGTATGCAACTCTTGACCTCAGTGTTGTTAAGTTTGAGCCCATATTGGGTGTAGGGAGTACTTAAAAATAAAATCTTAAATAAAAAGGGGGTGGTTTCCAAATAGCTTACAGCGGAAAAAAGCATCTCCATCTCCAACCGTTTTTCTATTCTAAAGGTTTGGAGGAAGGGTAACATAGATTCCTTTAAAATCTTTCCCACTGCAGTATAATTCAGGAAGTACATTATTTTATAACCATAAACAATGGGTGTCACAGGAAACTAGGAAAGCTTCCTATTTTGGCATATTAATACTTGTTTATTTTAACATATTTCCTATTTTAATGTTTATTTAGAAATCCTACTCTAATAAAAGAACACTTCTTTTTTTTTTTAAGATTTTTAATAATTTATTTACTTGGGAGAGAGGGAGAAGAAGTGAGTAGAAGCAGGCAGGAGGGGCAGAGGGAGAGGGAGAAGCAGGCTCCCTGCCAAGCAGGGAAGCCTGACCATGCAAAGCTGGCTAGATCCTGGATCCATCCAGAATTAATCCTAGGATCATGACCTTAACAGTAGGCCGATCCCTAACTGATTGAGCCATCCACGTCCCCCAAAAAAAACATTTCTTCTATTTACAATACTCTAAAAACTAAACTTTATCATGAAACATGACTGGTTTTTAAAAATATTTAAAAACCAAACAAAATTTATAATTTTGACAACTAAGAGCCCTTCTTCATTCTAATGTTCTAATAGAACATGCCACGGAAGATTATAAAAAATGAGCTCTAGTGAATCAAGAATAACTGAATATTGAGGGGCGCCTGGCTGGCTCAGTCAGTTGGGTGTCCAACTCTTGATTTCAGTTCAGGTCATGATCTCAGGGTCATGAGACTGAGATTCACATGGAGCTCCGTGCTCAGCACGGCCTGCTTATCCCTCTCCCTCCCCGACTTGTGCACGCTGTCTCTCTAATAAACAAAATCTTAAAAAAACAATACATTAAAAAAAGAATAACTGAATACTGAATGTCATAAAGCTAATTAATTAATTTGAAAAACTATAAAGACATTTCTTGTATTATTTATATACAGTAACTCCCTAGAACTTCAAAAGCTAACTTAGGGTCTTTCCTTGCAATTTCAATATATTCAATGACAGTACAGAGACATAAAGAAGTTTTCTCGTAATTCTCAGTTTTCATGAAGAGTAAAGCATTGAAATCTTTCTAAGTTCTTCTCTACTCAAAAATAGTTTTTTTTCTGAATGTGAAAGTAAGAAGTTTTTAAAAGATACAAAGAAATACAAATAAAATGACTAGCCTAAACTGCACTACCAAGAGATTATACATTGTAAATACTGTGGTCAAAATAATATTAAAAGTTGTTTAATATTAAATTGTTAATATTTATAATGCCGACCATTTATTGAGCTAGATAAAGTATGAAAAATTAATTTAAAACTTAGTATGCAACGATTCTCATTTAATTCTTGAAATAGCCTTATGAATTAAGATACCACTAGCATCCCATTCTGCAGATAAAGACCTCATGCACAGGGCTGCCTGATATGTGTAAGATCCCAAAGCTGGTAAGTGGCAAAAACAGCAATGATTCAAATCTAAGCGTAGGCCTTCAAAGTCTATATTCTTAAATACTATACTTTAGAGCCCTTCCATCCTTCTAAACATCTTTTCATCTATACATACACATTACATTTATTTTAATGACCTTTTCTCAACTATTATTAAGAAGTTAAAATATTCTATTTAACCTCAAATTCTCAATCCCCCAGTTAAAAAAATATATATATATCAGGGGACCTGAGTGGTTTAGTCTGTGAAGCGTCTGCCTATGGCTCAGGTCATGATCTCAGAGTCCTGCTCAGCAGGGAGTCAGCTTCTCCCTCTCCCTCTGCCTCTCACCCTGCTCTCTCTCAAATAAATAAATAAATTTTTAAAAATGTATAGACTAATAAATTTTATTTTAAAATCTGAAACTGTTCCTGTTTAAGAGTTTAAACTAATAAAGCGAAATGAAACTATCTTCTAAAATCTAATGTAAGTTTAAACTGTTCCTTTAAAGAAACTATCTAGGGATGCCTAGTTCTCTGTCAGGAGAGCCTGTGACTTGATCTCAGAGTTAGGCCTAGAGCTTAGTTAAAAAAAAAAAAAAAGAAAAGAAACAAACAAACAAACAATTTATTATTTAAACAATTTAAAATTTAAATCAATTTTTCACATTTCATCTATTTCTTACAAAGATCTCTAATGACCCTCATATCAGAGACCACTTTATGTAATACATTTTACAATTAAGATGATCAAAAAAAGTATTAATTCATTTCAAAAATCAATAGATTAAATGACCTTTCTTTAAAGAATTAATATAATCTCCCTCCACCCCTCTTTATGTGTCCTAATGACAAAGAAGTGGTTTCTTTATAGAGAAAGGACTATTTTAAGTACGCCTGCTGGGCTTTTCTGGTAAGCAACTAGTAAGAAATGGAGTGTTTGACAAACTAGACAAAGCATTCCCTTGTACTGTAAATTGTAGTACAATTCTACTGGTTTACTGGCCTAAAACAGTCTATAGTAATTGGATTCCTGCTGTAGTCTATAATCTATTTTGTCATGGCTTAAAATGCTACCCAGTATATTAAATTGCTCTAGGTTTTTTTTACATTATTAAGGAGTTAATTTAACATTCTGACTTTTTCTACACATTGTGCATTAAACATTTCTTACTTAAGTCCTTAACTAATTATTAAAATGAAATATTGTGTAAATTAACAATTTCTGCTGTAGACAAGGCAATTTATTAAAATAAAAATGCTTTGTTTTTGTAAAAGAGCTGAAATATTACCAAACTCAATAGATCAATAACTGCTAAAAATTAAACCAATATTACACTAATCAAATCACAGACTAGCTATAAAGGAAAAGTACAAAATGGAAATCCTTATAAATTCGTGGGCCAGGCTAGAATCTAGTGAACCTGGCACATTCCTTCAGCACCTAAAACAGTAACTGGCACACAGCAGAAACTTAGTGATGGCTGAATAAATGAATTAATCGACCAACCAATTGTTAGTTGTAAGTTGGTAAATCTTTTAGGAACTATAATATAGGAATTACATATAACAGTTAACAGCCATAAAAACCCAGTAATGCTACTAGTAATTAATCCTAATTAAGTAAAATAGAACATGATGACCATCACTCCAATAGTAGTGGAAACAATCTATTAACACCCAGCATAACCAGTCAAATAGATCTGGACACATCAACCCAATTAAATGCTACAAAATTGGCAAACAATGTTAATCTACATGTACAATACAAGATGAAAATACCAAGTGAAAATATCAAAAACCAAAATCAGCATGCTAATGATTGCAACTAGTTAAAAGATACATATACACATGTAACTTGAGAGACAAAAAAGTCATAATTGTGTTACGCTGATTAAAAAGTTGTCATTCATTTTCTTTTTTCTTTCCTATTTCTTGATGAGAAAATTATTTTAAAATTCAACCATTCTCTTTGCCTATTTCTCAACAGTTCTCTGTTAATACTGCTAAAGAAAACACTACCTTAGGTGACCTTTCTGATCAAATTAAAACAAAAAAAAGATGACATGTAAATAAATTGTCTAAATATTCCCTTCGGTGGGCGCCTGGATGGTTCAGTTGGTTAATTGTCCAGTTCTTCATTTAGGCTCAGGTCATGATCTCAGGGTCCTGGAATCGAGCCCCGTGTTGGACTCCTTGTTCAGTGGGAAGTCTGCTTGTTGCTTGCCTTCCTCTCCCTCTGCCCCTTTCCTCCACCACCACCCCACCAGAGCGTGAGCTCTCTCTCTCTAAAATAAATAAGTGAATATTTATAAATAAATAAATAGATAGATATTTCCTTTGGTCATATTTAATAGTGCTTATATTTTAATAATATGCTAAAGAGAAGAATAATAGTGAGAAAGGAGACATAAATGACAACCCTACCATACTTTCAAGTTTTGGGGTTATTTTTTGTTTTTGTAATGTCTGTCAGTCTTTCCAGGTTCACAATTTGCCGCAGACATAAAATAATAAAATTTACAGACAAGTAACTTAAATCAAAGTACGTATCACTTTACAGACACTGGCTTTCTAACTTCCCAGTTATTCTTGTACCCTTTTGCCTTTTCTGCACCATACCAACCCGCCGCTCTCTGCCACACTCCTTTAAGCCTTCCCTACCACTCCATCCTAATCACAAACTGCCTTCCAAACTATTATATTATATAGCATTTATTTCTCTCTCCATCCAGATTAAAAAAAAAAAAACACACACACAAACTCATGCTGAAAAGTCAATCTACAAATAGGAATGCAAACACACAAAATTTTTTATTACCTTCAATCCCAACATGGTGGGGGGAGGGGGTAGTTACTTAATATTTCCAGTGTAACTTCTCAGTGTTTCTTTCAAAAAACTAATATCATATAGTACACACTATTTTTTAACTCACTTGTTCTCTTATCAATATAACATTCACTCCACCTCCTCATATCCCTGAGGAAAAGATTCAAATACAAGTAGTTTATTTGTAAAGTACAGAAATACTAGCAAGAGGTGAAAAAATTCAGGGGAAAATCCAAGAATTATCAAGCCTGCTACTACTATGGGCAACTGGCGCTTAATTTCAGAGAAAACTCTGGGAAATAATGTTGAATTATGGCACTCAAGGAGGGAGAGAGCTGAGGTAGCCCTACACCAACTCTTGTCAGTCACTGGCTCAGGGGCGCTCCCAGGCTGCCCTGCAGAGAAATTCCCTAAACCTTCGCAGAGTCCTCAAGCAGAGAGAAGATACTGATGGCTGGAAGTAAGTGGTTTCCTTCTAAATAAGCAATAAAACACAAAGGATGTGGACAAGGTACTGCCAGCACCTGCTATACGCCACATCTTGGAATATTCTGTATCACTTTCTGAAATTCTGAAATTTTTTTTTAGATTTTTTTCTTATTTATCCATTTGAGAGAGGGAGAGGATGAGTGGGGGAAGGGACAAACAGACTCCCCGCTCCCTGCAGAGCTGGATTCAGGACTCAATCCCAGACCCTGAGATCATGACCTGAGCCAAAGTCAGACGCTTAAGCGGTCGAGACACCCTGGTGTCCCTCATTTAAATTTTATAAGTTAAAATGACTTGATATAAACCAGAACTGCTTTCTCTCCAACATTTGCTATCTGCAACTAAATATGTTTTATATTGTTTCCTGTGTAGTGTGTTTGGGACCAAATTTGAAAAGAAGCCTATCAAAAAATCAAGGCAATCAAAGAAGAATAAAACCATCAGGTTGAACTATATGAAATGCCATGTTTTGCAGATCAGAAACTGTTGAATCTCAGCAATTTCATATAGTTCAACCTAATATGCATCAAACTTCAATTATTTCCTTTCTAGGTTCCATAACTATTGTAGCACCTATTTCCAAGGTCTTTACTTCTACCTCTCACTTCTTTTTCTCTTCTTCCTTTCAGTTGTTCATGAGGAAATGTAGGCATGAAACCATAAAGTAATAACTACTAATGCACTGAACATACAACTTTTCAGCTGTAACCAGGCTAGGGGTAAATGAATGAATGAAGCACAATCAGATTTATATAAAGAATATATCTTTCTCAGGGGCACCTGGGTGGCTCAGTGGGTTAAAGCCTCTGCCTTTGGCTCAGATCATGGTCCCAAGGTCCTGGGATCGAGTCCCATGTCGGGCTCTCTGTTCAGCGGGGAGCCTGCTTCCCCCTCTCTCTCTGCCTGCCTCTCTGCCCACTTGTGATCTCTGTCAAATAAAAAAATAAAATGTTTAAAAAAAAAAAGAATATATCTTTCTCTTCCACTCTCTATGATTCCATTCTTTCAACTAAGAGAAAAGTAATCACTGTCTCAAAGGACAGACATCCTTTGAGTTGGTGCAGGACTCCCCCAGCATCTTCAACCCTTACAAAACCAAAGTCTGTGATAGGAATAATTAAACCACCATTTATATAAAAAGGTTTGTAAGTGTTTTTGAGTTTTATTTTTACGAAAATACACTCACTCTGTAAGGAAAAGTACATGGCTATCATAGACATCTATATTCAGTTGTAACTACTGTCAAAGAATTGAAAAATGGAAAAAAGAAAAGGCAAACATATCGTTACCTGCAAAAGGAGATTTCAACATGAGACTCTCCTCAACCATGATACCTTCTTGTGTCTTGTGTCCAACCCTTTGCTTGAATGGCTGCATGATCTCTGGGGAATGGATGGACTCTACAGGATTCATCTCATTGGACTGTGTGGTTCTGAGTTCTGAAGAACACAGCAAGTCTTCAGTGTACTGCTCTGCTTTCATTAGGTCACTACCAGACAACACTCTCAAGCTAACAGTAGGAAACTTCAGAACAGGAGAGTCTACGTCACCAAAACTCAAAGCATTTGATATACCAAAGTCATCATCCTCAGGAATGGGGTTGTACCATATTTCTCTCTCATCGTCTGCATCATTTTCCTCATTAAAGTCTAAAGAACAGTTTCGTGAAGGTGAAGAATCTGTAGCATCACACACCATATATGTACAGTATTCTTCAGAGGACTTGAAGAAAGGTCGTGATAGCTGATGTTTGGGTGAGATGGATAAGTGGCTTATGTCTTGGCATTTCTTATTTTCTTCTTCCAAATTAAAAGGTCGCAGAGTGCTCTGATATAACCAATTGCGTTTCTTTGACACAGTGATGCTATTAAGTGGCTTATGACCTCTGAATCCAATATTATCCTTCAGGTCTTCAAGTTCTCTTCTCTTCACTGAAGACCCATAGACATTTTCAAATAAATCTATTTCAAAGGAAAAAAAGACGGTAGAATGTAATGATGTAATGCCTAGCATACCAGGAAAGACAGGTCACTTGAAATCAGTTATTAAAACAATATTTTTAAGAAGATAGAAAAGTAGTATTACATTTGGAGACTAAAATGAAACAAGAAAAATTTTGGCTTTTTCGCCTAAAAATAATTTCTATTATTTAGACTACTAGTATAAGTGACATAAGAACTCTGAGAAAAAGAAAAAATTGTGAGACTGCCTTTTTATACACATGATAGGACTCACAAAGACTTACCCTAAGCAAAACATACTTTATAAAAGGCTAACATGGAGTGTTTTGTACACAGTATGCCTTTAGTTAATATTTTTAATAATTTCCAACTCACTACTACAAGGTCCAGAAATCTTTAGGAAACATAAGTACTATTTCTACTTTCTCACACAAAGATGAACTTTGAGTAAATCTTTAAAAATAAGTGTGGCTTACTTAATACTAAATGTTTTCCTGATTACTGAAATTTCAGCATAACATCTATTTCCCAATCATATAGCTATGCAGTAGCATTTTATGCAGGGTTTAAGCTCTAAATACCTAGGGCAAAATTAAAAATAAAAATCCCTTAAGAAGGCTTTAGATTAGAACCAGATATCTTGTCTCACAGTAAATACAACCAGCTCTTATTACTGGCTGGGCACAAACTTAAGGAGCAAGGACATGAGAATGAACAAAATAGTTCCTACCCTTAAAAAATTCATAGTCCAATGAGGGTCATCAAATACTTGTTATGTGTTTGTGTTAATATAATGAAATAAGGCTCTAAAAATGTATATGTAACATTAATTCCATATAAAGAGGAACATATCCAAAGGACTGCATAAAGCAGGCTTCAATGACACTCAGTAAGTTAAATATACACCATAATACCAATTCATTACACACAGAAAAACAGACAAAACCACCTTTCTAAAAATTTAAGATCATGCTAGGTTTATAAATGATGGAATTATAGTTTATCTACTTTAAGTATGTATATGATTGATTCATCTTAGTATTACAGCAAATAAAATATAATACCCTAATAACAGAGTGGTAAAAACACAATAAACTATGAGGAGCTTAATAACAACCAAAAAATTAGGTTCATACATCATCAAGGCTTTCAGTAACCTCCCTCTACTGAACAAAAATCCCTTAAAAAGTGTAAACTTGTCTTTTTTTAATTCTAAATTTTACCCAACCAAGCAATTAATTTTAAAAAATTATATATATATATATATATATATATATATATATATA